AGCACCCATCTTGAAACATCCTGACCCCAATCTTCCATTCGTGGTTGAGGTAGATGCCTCAGATTGTGGAATCGGAGCCGTACTCTCCCAGGGAACTACCATCTGGCCTCCTCCAATCACTACCAATCCCACAACGCCCTTGGTCCCATCTCTCCGTTGACTTTGTAACTGATCTGCCTCCTTCTAATAGTTACACAGCCATTCTCGTCATTATCGACCGTTTCTTTTTTGAAGTGAATTCATGAACATCATGCCACAACTCTGATAGATCGAAACAATCTTTAAAAATAAATAAATAAGGGTTAGATAAGAGATAAATAAGATAGACAGCTTAAATAAATAAGATAAAAGCTTAACTTTTACAACTCCTGATTAGTGTTTTTTCTTTTCATCAGATTCCCATCAGTTCACTCTGGATCCAAACACTGCACATGAACGTCTCCGTCTGTCTGAAGGGAACAGAGCGGTGACTTACACTGACGCACCTCAGCCATATCCTGATCATCCAGACAGATTTGATGGTTATCTTCAGGTGTTGTGTAGAGAGAGTGTGAGTGGACGCTGTTACTAAGGGATCTGGTTATGAGCGTCTGTTTGGATATAATGATCAGTCCTGGAGTTTGTGCTGCTCTCCCTCCAGTTTCTCATTCCTGCACAATAAGAGTCAGACTGAACTCCCTGTTCCCTCCAGCTGCTGGAGAATAGGAGTGTATGTGGATCACAGTGCAGGAACTCTGTCCTTCTACAGCGTCTCTGACACAATGAACCTCATCCACACAGTCCAGACCACATTCACTCAGCCGCTCTATCCTGGGTTTAATGTTTGGGGTCGACAATCATCAGCAAAGCTATTATAACTATCTAGATTACAGAGAGATCTACACATTGTACTTTTATATGGCAACTCTGAGATGTAAATCTGAATATTTATATTTCATGTGTATTCATTCACCACACACTTTTATCCAAAGTGGCTCACAAAAGAGAAACAGTGAAATGTTGTAGGTCTTTTATTTTCTAATGTTTAAAGGGGTCATGACATGAGAAATCAAATCGGCTTTGATCTTTTGTCATGTAAGGGGTCTTTGTACCATTAAAACACCCTGCAAGTTTCATAGCTTAAAACGTCCTCCTCATTAAACAAAGCATTTATTTAATCTAGCTCCAAAAACGGCTCGTTTTGGAACCAAGGGGCAAGATGATGTCACCTGGGCACAAAGATTTGCATAAACCCCGCCTCCAGAGCAAAACACTCACATGTGATTGCGAGGGGGCGCTGATACTGTTTCCTGTGCAATGATGTTAGCCAATCATAACAGTGGGCGGATACTGACAAGCCTTAAAGGATCCGCCCCTTAAACACACTTGCACACACTTCGCTGTGCAACTGGCTGTTGGACTTTCTGACTGGAAGACCTCAGGCAGTTCGGGTCGGCAGCAACAAAGGGTTGAAAATAATCCCTTTCTACATTTTTTTTTTTTTTTGTGCAAAAAACTTTAACATTATAAGTAAACCTCAAGGTACATATTGAAATAAAAAAATCCATGTCATGACCCCTTTAAAACAACTACAGCTGAACTTCTGTCACTGACACTAACATAAATTATACAATACTATAACTGAGTGAATACTTTTTCATCAGATTAATCTAATATTGATTGTCAAATTGGTAAAATTCTTTGTCTATGGAAAAATGGTTAAAATGTCATTCTATAACCAAAGTCACTATTTTAATTATTCAGGAGTCCCAACTGAGTCTTAAAAACAAAGTGTTAATCTTATCACCCAAACTCAGTTAAATTGATGAAGATACATCAAAAAATCTTGGCCAAAAGATGAAATGTACTTTCATAATCCTGTAGGAAGGGATCTGATACAGCTGTGCTCTAATTACACAGAAGAGGACCTTTAATAAGGTGGACTCAGCATTGAAATACAGTGGAAATCTGCATTTTAAGAAATTATTTTGAATCTCAATGATCATCCAGAGAAATTGGGTGCAACTTCAGTCAAAGCAATAAAACGTAACCCCCTGAGACCCTGCATCCTCATATGAGGACATTATATTTTAGTAAATTTCTCTGAGGCTATACATGCCACAGTTTGAAGTCTGGATGTCCTGTACGGAGCACATTCAGGGCTTTTCAGAAATGTTCTGATGTTTCACCATCACCACTCCCTCCCCTTGCTCTTCAGAAATGTCTGATATTAATTTAGTGACACTCTTAAGGAAATATGATAATATTTTGTAATCATTTAAATCTGACTAATTTTTGAACTGTGTCATAAATCAGCATCTCAGAAAGTCATATTTTGATTTGAAACCCCATAACATTTTCCTGTTACGAAACAGGGTTGATTTCATACATGTCCTCATACGAGGACACCGGGATTAAAAGCATGTTTATTACGCATTTTGGGAGACACAACAAATGAATAGGGAAACAAATTATATTTCAATATTCCTATGAAATATTAAATATTATTATGAAAATCTTGTCAATTATTACTCC